ATATCTAGCTACACATTGACAATTTCATCCCTATCAAAAAATAAATCCAGCATCGTACTATTATGAATGTACTGTGGAATCCATTTAACAACTTGCCAATGACCTCTACTGGGGTCATGCATATACCTACTCACAACACCAATTGATTGTGAAATGGCAACGGATCGTAACCGCCGGTTCGGGCCATTGTTTTCAAGGCCTTTAATCGGCTAAAAAAATATATACAAGTCAGTTTGGAGGACCGACGATTATAAGCCGGTCCAGTTCATTAAAATATAATTAAAAAAATTTATATAAAAAAGGTCGAACGGTCGGTCCCGATTCTTATTTTAGTTCGAAACCGGCTGGACGATACAAAATATGTGGCCAGAAATCGGCCCGGTCAAACCTTGGGTTCGTCTCAAGGCCCGTTGACTATGGACTGATTCAGGCAGTGGTTACATGAGAATTTTTGGGTACTTCATTTTGTTTTATTTATTTCTTTTCGAAATAACTTTGTCACCGTTTTATTAGATTGATTAAGTTTTATTTTATATAAAATAGGGAACTGCTTGATAGACATGACCATAATCGATTTCGAGACAACATTTCGACCAATTTGAACAAATTTTAAATGATCTTAAAGTTTCGGGTAAGACAACATTTCGAACAATTTTTAAATGATGTCAAAGTTTAATAAACTCAGTTTTCTAACCATCTCCAACCCTCTACTTTACTCTCTTTAAAATTTATTCTACTCTATAAAGTATACCAAAATTTAACTTTGTCTCCAGTAGTTCACGCACATTTACTATACATGAAATATATTTGTACAAAATGAAATTGTAATACAACTATCAAATCAAAATTTAATGTCATTTAACAAGATAAATAGTTTTATTAATATATGTTTTGCCAAAGTAATATTTTAAAATAAATACCAATACAAATTAAAATTTAAAGAAAAAAATTATAATGCAGTAAATATTACTGATCACATCTTCAGATTAGTGCCAACATTTATTGGCACTACTCTGACATAAATGTTACTGATCACATCTTCATATTAGTGCCAACATTTATTGGCACTACTCTAATGTAAAACTGTAACATAGAGCTACATTGAAATTACTCTAATGTTATTTATGTGCTTCTCTCTGGAATTTTCTTGAACAGTATCAAGAAAAGGCAAAACCAAAATTACATTAAGGTGTACGACGTGTCATCGTTTTTGTTCTTTATCAACACGAAAATGTAAAAACACTATTTTTTTTATTTTTTTATTTTTCAGATTTTGCAAACCAAATAAACAGAGCAAATATAATCTCTAAAAATTCACCTCACCTTACATTCAAACAAGTTTGAACAAATATTATACTCAGATTTCACTCCATTCATTTATATGAACCAGAATGTATTCAACCAATATGCACCCTATTTTAAAATACAAGTAATGAAGTATAATAAACCAGAATGTATTCAACCAATATGCACCCTATTTTAAAATACAAGTAATGAAGTATAATAAATGCTGTCTAAATAGACCAAATGTTAGATTGTACACCCAACAAAGATAAACTACATATCATTATTTAGTTCATAATGATAGACATAACGAACGACTCAGCTTAGAGAGACATGATGGATTGCAAATAATACTCCTATTAATTTTATTTAGTTCATTTATATTAACAAACTTTAGTTTACATATCATTATATTTGTAGATTTTACTATTATAAAAAGTATTACATTCTTAAATAAAAAGATAGTAATAACAAAACATTTACACTTTATATGATTCAAGTTTTGTTTTCGCATAAATTTTACTTCCCATACTAAATTCAATCCAACAATAGCCAAAATATATCTAAAATATTTTTAACCACAATATTTCTAAATTATTTTTAAAAATACTTTAAATAAATGATATGTAAAAAATATTCTAGAAAAAGATTGGTTGTATATTCAAATGATATATAAGATTTCTGCTATATTCTTCCTTATTGAGATAAGAAAAATAAAATATCATGACTTGCTCTTGTATAGTAAATATTAAAATCAATTTATTTATGTGTAAAAAATATAATTTATAATTAATTTTATTACTTTATTTCCAACAGAATATTGAATTGTAGTCGAGTCTAATTTATAAAGTTGGTGTACGTGTGATATTGAAAAGTTGTAAAAGTTATATGAATGAAAAACTTACGAGAATATTTTTGTAAGTTTGAAAATAAATTTTTCTATTAGAGAAAAATTATTAAAGTACGAAACGCGTTTTTTGATTGAAATTATTTTAAATAAAAATTATATTGAATCGTGCATAATAACTAACATATCTGTCATGCTGAAAATACGTCAAGATTAAATTCATTTGCAGCTATACATACAATCGGTCCCACGGACGAAGCGCACCAAATCAGGGAAGCCCAAATGAGGTTCCATCCCAAAATCAATTGGTGGTAGGAGAATTAGTCCACTAAGCTTATAAGTTAAGCCTATTTTTCCTGTACAAACGATGTGGAACAACTCACAAGTGTATATTCTAACAATTAAAAGTTAACACTTTAAAAATAAAGCAAAAAAAAAATATATAGTTACTTTGAGTATAATAGAAGAATGAATGTTGAATTCATTTTTGTCACACAAAGAAAATTGGACTCTCCAGTGTGAGGATGTTTGCATTGAATTTTACACTTTTAATTTTTAAACGCATTTACATAAGTATATAGTAACACACCCATGAAAAATTTGGTGTATGGGGGCACACATAAAATATTAAATTTNTTACCTACTTATTTGAATGCTCTCTTAATTTTTTTTATTATTAATTTTGTTGTTATCTTTGTTCAAATTAGTGACGGTGGGTTTGAAAAAATAAAAGATAAAATTAGTCAGCGGTGGGGATATGGAATATCATACCCAAAAGAGCAAATACATTGAACCGGTCGATCAAATCAAACGAACCCGCGGGTAGTCGAAGTAGAACAGCAGGGAGGTCGAACATCCAACAAGGCATTCCCAGGTCGAAAGGAGCGAGAAGGATACAATGGAACAACGTCAGACGAGTTAGGCCCTCAGATGATCTGCTCGAAACTTAACATATAGGTGTAGATCGGTGGTGTGATCAACCAGAAAGAACACTTAGGGCCAGAACAGGCAACGTTCTATCTCAGGTGACCTCGAGCTGGTCGCACCATTAAGAAATCTAATAGAAAAGACTGAATGATAAGAAGGAATCTTAAGGGGTTAAGAGCTGCACTGTATAGGGTCATTTGGCCTAATAGAATTGGACAGTTCGGGCAAATCGGGGAGCCTACTCAGGCGGTCTTAGGCAACAATGTATCATCTTCCTTTATAAGGGAGTGAGGTATACCTATTGCGACATTACACTCTCTACATACATTTACATACTGCACTTCATCATCTACAAGTGCTAACTTAAGCTTCAGAGGCTGTTCACCGAAAAAATCTTCTGGTGTGATAGTTCTGCAGATCTAAAGGCGTTTCACTGGCAGAGAAGCTCAAAATCAAGCTGGTTCCAGCCTGTCGGAGGTCTTTGACATACCAAGAAGGAATCTAATAAATATAAGAAGAAATCTAATGATGACAATGATGAGATTAAGATAAGGATGAACATTCAGCAGATAAGAACCAAACTCGGGCAGTTGGGCAGGCTAATCGAAGGCATTCAGGCAGTCGGGCAGGCTGACACGTGCAGTTGGGAAATGCGGGCATTAGGTATCCCCTATAAAAGAGGTTGAGGTACATCTGAAATACTCTTTACATTCCCTATACATTCTATATACATAGCACATTATCATCTTCTTCTCCCGCATAATTTGAGCGTCGGAGTGCTCACGCGGGAACCGCTCCGACACTTGTTTTGCAGGTCATCAGCGGTTCAAGGACGATTGGAGGTCTTTCACAGCCAATCCAACTTAAGCTCGGGCCTCCAGCACATCACTCTCTATGTAAAACTTAGGTACTAAGATATTGAGTTTTATTTTCTAGAAAATAGGGAACTGCTTGATAGACATGACCATAATCGGTTTCGAGACAACATTTCGACCAATTTGAACAATTTTTAAATGATCCTAAAGTTTCGGATAAGACAACATTTCGAACAATTTTTAAATGATGTCAAAGTTTAATAAACTCAGTCTTCTAACCATCTTCAACCCTCTACTTTACTCTCTTTAGAATATATATAGTCTACTCTATAAAGTATACTAAAATTTAACTTTGTCTCCAGTAGTTCACGCATATTTACTCTACATGAAATATATTAGTACAAAATGAAATTGTAATACAACTATCAAATCAAAATTTAATATCATTTAGCAAGATAAATAGTTTTATTGATGTATGTTTTGATAAATTAATATTTTAAAATAAAAACCAATTAAAAATTAAAATTTGAAGAAAAAAATGATGAAGCAGTAATATTTACTGATCATATCTTCAGATTAGTGCGAAAATTTATCGGCACTACTCTGATGTAAAACTGTAACATAGAGCTACGCTGAAATTACTCTAATGCTATTTCTGCCATTCTCTCCAGAATTTTTGAAGAACAGTATCAAAGAAAAGGCAAAGTTACATTGAGATGTATGACCTGTCACGTTTTGTTCTTTATCAACACCAAAAAGTAAAAACACTTTTTTTTTTTCAATCATATTTTGCAAACTGAATCACTGTGAACAATATTGATGGATAAACAGATCAAATATAATCTCTAAAAATTCACCTTACATTCAAAAGTTTGAACAAATATTATACTCAGACTCGACTCATTTACATTCTTACTCAAACCAAAACCCAACCATTCAACCAACAATATTGTGTATGCACCCCAAAAAATCACAAACATTTTGTCGAGCTCGATACGCAGTCATTCAACTACAGCTTCTTCGAGATCAAATCGATGGCTAAAACAAAGCAAACATAACCTCGAAATTCACCTTAAACATTCAAACAAGTTTGAACAATATTATACTCAGATTCGACTCGACTCATTTCAACCAACAACCACATTTCCTTTCAATCTCTCCATCCTATGAGTCAACACAACCACAACTTCCTCTTTCCCTCCCTCAACAAGACATTTCTTCAACTCCTTAAACAGTCGATCGGGAGGCCTTATCCCCATATCCAACATCTCCATAAAACACCCAAACGCCTCATCCAATCTATTCCCACTACACAATCCCTCGATCAAAACAGCAAACATATGCATCCTAGGAAGTAAACCCCGGGCCTTCATCTCACCCCACAAACCCATTGCCATATCCACTCGTCTCTCATTACAAAACATCCTCGCCATTATCTCATACGTGCTAGAATCCGGCTCGCAACACATTTTCTTGAAAAGCCCATAAGCTTCTCTCGTTTTCTTGAGTTTTACGAGGTGGTGAAGGATTATGCCGTACGTTCGCGCATTAGGTCCCACCCCACATTTTTTCATCTCGTTTATAAGCTTGTAGGCATCGTCAAATTTTCCCGACCAGCAATAGGCACCGATCAAGGAGTTATAAGTAGGGGCCTCGATAACACAATCGTTGCTTTCTTTGCAGAGCTTGAAAAACTTGAGAGCCTCGGTTAATCGCTTTTCGGGTCCAAAGGCGTTGATCAACGTGCAGTATATGTGAGGTGTCGGGTTAATATTTTTTTCCACCATTTCTTGATATAATCGGATAGCCTCGTCGAACTTTTTCGCCCGACAGTGGGCTTTGATCAGAATACCGTAGCTTACAACGTCAGGTCCGAACCCATCATCGATCATATTGCGTCTGACCTCGTCTAATTCGAGGAAATTACATTCTCGCCCCCATCCCTCGAGTAGTATTGTGTATGAATTGATGTTGGGATTGAATTTATGGTTTTTCCACTTATCGAACACTTCTTGAGCCCGCTTTACGTGGAAGGACTTACTGAGGGTGTCGAGTAGCCTGTTGTAGTCGTGCAGGTTGGGCTTCAGCCCGTATTTGCTCTCCATCTTTTCGAAGGCTTCTATGGCCTCTTTGACTTTCTTGGCCCTCGCGTACCTCCGGCAGACGAGGGCAAAAGTGTCTTTTTCAAGAATGCCTCTCGATTTCATCTCGTTCACCAAGGACCAGACGGTTTTGAACTGTTTTATTTTTCCCAAGGACTCAACGAGCGCATTGTAGCAATCCGGGGTTTGATGGAAGCCGCTTTTCTTCTGGGCCCACCGGAAAAACGACAGCGCGAAGACTCCGGCATTGTTGAGCTTTTTCAACACTTCAAGAACCAACTTTGGAGATAAAAATTGGGTTACGTTAGCAGAATCCAAGGCAGATTCGAGATTTTTAGAGTTTCCGGTCTCCAATATGATCTTGCAGATTATTTGAGCTTCTTGGGTGGGTGCATAATCATCATCATCTGGGTTTGGTTCCTCTTCGGCATTTTGACAAACCCTTGATGGGCTCGGAGGAATGTAACAAAAATATGATCTTTGAAGGTTGTAAATTGTGGGGTTTTGAAGGAGATTCAATTTCAGTGAAGGATTTGAGAGAAAAGTTGTAGGGATTTCGTCGTATGCGGGTGATGTGGGGAAATTTAGGGTATTTGCTGCGCTGAAAATAATGGGTTGGCTTGATAAAAGATGAGAGGGTTTTAGTAAAGCCTTTGGAATGTTCCTGATACCCATGTGGAGAAGAAAACGTCTATTTTGATGTTGAATCTGAGCGATCCTAAAACGAGATTAAGTGGCGGAAATTCATGCAGAAACAAGAATTTGCAGAAAGTAATAAGAATAGGACCTTGGAATTGGGGTTGTAGAAGAGAGCATGTAAACTTGGAAATGAAAATGAAAATGAAAATACAACCTAATGTCAAATTTCTAATCTTATTCATTATTTCAATTTTATTGCATATCTAATATAAAATAATTATTATATCAACTTTTATAAATAAATTTTTAATTCATGTCATACAATACACTTAATTCATTTATTAAGTATATGACATGAATTAAAAAATTATTATAACATATGATAAGCTCGTCTTACAATTTACGGATGTAATTCAAATAAAAAAGATGATGCAAATTTTTAATAAATATTTAGGAACTTATACTATAATATTCCATTATTGTTTTCTTTAGAAAATAAGTGGAGTAGTAAGTATACAAATATTTAAATTTAAACATTGTTTTTCATTATTATTTTATTTTTTAATTAACAATCATATATTATACAAATGTTTACTACCACTAGTATTTCTTGTTATCAATCAATTATCAAATTATTATTTATTCACCTTCATATTATACAAATTTTAATCATTAATTAACCCCATATATTCCTTATTTTTAAGATATTCACATTTTTCTAAAAACACTTTTTTTTCACTTTTACATCTATATTTCCAAACAAAGTAAAAAATTTCCAAAATAAATTATATCCAATCTACATTTTTTTTTTCCAAATAAATATATTAAATAAATTTGACTCTTTACTGGAAATCCATTAATAAATTGAATTCGACCCTGCAGTCCTTACCATCGCTTCTCGTTCCAACAATAATGCTTCTGAATATAACCCAATCAAATAAAAGCAATATGAACTACAATTCCATGAGAGAGTAAAATAACCTTAGTCAATCAGGAACAAAGAGTCGCATCAAATCACAGAAGCCAAATGAATATCATCAATTCATCCATCTATACTAAAGTTGATCAAATCTCACAAACAAAGATTTCTCTTCTTCTAAAGGATACAATTACTCTTTCTTGACAGCTTCAACAATCCATTCTCTGCTACACTTTCAAGCTACACTTTCAAGCATTCCAATTCACTCCTTTCATGAAAACAGCAAATGGCCGCGAAAAACAGACAAAATTTCAAAGCTTCAAGAAAGACGAAAAAAGAAATCGACAACATACGTTTTTTGCAAGTGACAACTAACCAGAAATCCCTCTTCACTCTCTCGGAAGACTAATTTCGCCCTCTGTACAATAAAAAAAACACGTATATCAACATCCGACGAGACAAAGGAATTCCCATCAACAAAAAGAATCACACAAACTCTAAAATCCCAAAACTATTCGTCACAAGCACGTGCTCGAATTCATGTTCACATCATCAAGAAGCTTATCGATCGACTCTCCAAACTTCTTCGCCTGTGGGCCCGGCTTCACAACGTTAACATCACCCCACTGTGAACAAGGGTCCATCAACCAACTCCTCCGGCCCGTACACCACGCACCAGGCGTGGCCCGATTACGGGCCCGCATAAGGATATTCTTGTCTATCATGTCCAAGACAGACCCATCTTTCTCGAATTGCCGGGCAAAAGCAGCTCCACTTTGAACCATCTCGTCATAATCCGAGACGTTGAGAAAATGGGGCTCCATTTTTGGTGGATCATCCCAAACGAAATACCGAAGGTCGGCATTAACAGTGGTGTTTTTGAATTCTTGGGAATTGCAGATGACTGAGTGGAAGTAGACCTCTTGGGCTAGGACAACGTTTGTGACGTACATTAGAAGGGTACGAGGTAGGTTGTCCCAACCGAAGATGCAATATTCGAGGAAGGACCGACTTAAGACAACCCATGGTGAACCTAGAAAATGAGAGAGAGAGAGAAATGGACGTGGCATTAGCAAATATGTACTCCCTCCTATTTTTATTATTTGTCACTCTGACTTAATTGATGATTGATTAAATAAATGTCGTTTTGACTATTTTGTTCATATTTTTCCATTTTTAACCCTTCATCTAATACACAGTGTCTTTTCATATCTCATCTCCATCATTTCCCATAACATCCATTAAATAGGGTTAGTATTGGCAAGAAAAAAAATTCTTAATTAGCGTGTTGCTTCTCAAAACGACAAATAATAAAAATAGGAGGGAGTAATAGTTTTGACTACAATTGGTATTGTTCACTAGAAATGTATGGATATACAGAATCGAAGGCGAAAATTGTATTTCTATCACAGTAACTCCCAATAGAGGGTGACAATTTAGTTGTTTTGACTTAGTCAAAATAGCTATAATTTTGATTGGCATTTTTGGATATTTTGATACTAGTGGGCATTTTGGGAATAAATAATATGTTGAAAGAGTTATCTGAGCCAAAAAAAAGCACCATTTTCAGAACTTATAGAGGACCAGAAGTGAAAAAGTTCAAAACCTAAAGAGACCAATTGCGACCCCTCATAACTATTGGAACAATATTGCAATTAAGTGAAAATGAGCAAAATTTACCTGTGAAAACCTTGAAAGCATCTGGCATTGGCCGCTTTTCGGTTGCGTGAAATATTTGAGCCCTCCTGGCTAAATAAACACCCGGATCCACTACAATCGGTTGAATTCTTTGACCTCTGGAGTGACATTGAATTTAAAGACATAATAAGGAGCAGCTAATTGAAAGCAAGAATTGGGAACTGACTTTGGAATACTCCTTCGCAAGCGTCAGAAGAGTAAGATAAGAGCAGAGAGAAGACTAAATATTTAAGACTATAAGTGTTGAGGATTTGCTCACTCTTTCCATCCCAGGTCACTAGTGTGATCGATAAAGTTCAGGTCTCTTCTAATTGACGAGAACACATGGGACATGTCTGGGAAGCAGAGGAAAAAAAATGACAAAGAAAAGAAATAAGCACATTATCTGTAGTTGGGAAATTCAGGAAATAAATAGTTGATAAAAGCTATATACATATTTGAATACGTATGACTAGAAAACTAGAAAACTTTTAAACAGACATTTCAGCAAAGACTAAAAAACCAAAATTGTAGCAATACAACGACAAAAGCAAACATCATACGAGAGGAAAAATTGATCACATAATACAGAGTACAACGTACTGATTGCCATGTACAAAAATATTTATTTTGGTTTTGCGTTGTAGCCGCAAGAAATATTTCATTTCCACTTAGTCAGACTCAAGAAACGATTGTATGGGATTTGATAAATATATGGGCAGGGTAAATCTATTGGACTAATATGCAACGAAGTGTATTGGACATCCGCACTACCAGAAAAATTTACCAAATGTTTTGATGCATAGCTCTATTTCCAACTATAGAAGCTCTGTGAATCGGAGAACTTTATAGAACTATAGAACTTTATAAAATGAGTGCAATAAAAATTGTAAATGAATATATAAGAAGATAGAAGCTCCAATAACTTGGACCTAATAGCCGTTTATGCTTTTCAGCTTACCAAACTATCATACATATGCCTCAAAATTACTCTCCAAATGAAATGGAAAATAATATTCGAACAAAAGATAACATTAAATAAATCAGAAAATGAATAAGAAACTACTAATAAAAGTGTCTTTTCTCTATCTCGTTCTTTTCCTTTTTTTTCATTACTTTTTTGATAACTAACAACTACAGTCAAGACTAAAAATTTCTTGAATGATAAACAGGCCTAATAACTTCACTGTAGAGCATAACCATGTAAGGTTATTGTGCCACTAGCTGTCACGGTCTAGATTCAATATTCTGCTTCAAAAATGGCTTGAATGACTAATCTCGTCCAAGCTTCAACGCATAATTCTAGAGCACTAGACTGAAGACAATGCATGCCAAAGGACATTCCAAAAGACTAAAACACATCAAACTAGAATATAGAGACAGATAAGGATGTGCCTAAATGCTCAAGAAACAAAACAATTCCAGGATGTTCCAGAGTAGTGCTAAAAGTTACTTTAAGAAAAAGGCACACATTCAGAAGCACAACGATCTACTTTACATAAAGATTCTGAAGTTTTTCTTATCAGCAATTGCTTTAAAGAAAAATGGTTAGCAAAGTGCCCCTAATAACTACCATAGCCAGAAAGTCATTCCAATTGGGTCGCAGAAAATTCAAAGAACTATACATGTGCTGAATCTATATGAAATGAAGATTCTTTACATATTTTCATTCTCAAATTCTACAAGCACCAGTACTTGTTACTGATCCTGGACTAAAAACAAATTCTTGATCTGATTTTGAGGAAATGCATATATTAAGACGAGTAAAAGAACTTGGAAGTTATTTCTAGTGCAGAGTATCAAGTTCCCCAATTCAACACGATCGGCCAAACACTGAGGAAAAGAAAAAAGCACAAGACATTCAAACAATCCTCCAAACTTCCAAAGTATAACTGGGAACACAAAGCCAATGACAAGACTTTGAGATAAAACACTAAAACTTGAAAAACAACTTCAATGCAGCAATCGTCTTAAATCAGCACTAACAAAACCATAACTTATAACCTCCAATAACAGGTACTAGTGTACATTACAAGAACTCCAAAGGTAAAAATAGAAACTTTCAACCAGCAACTCAAAAACACACTGGACATGAAACCCTTGACAAAATACGAACTCTCTGCTACTAAAAAATCGAAAACGTAAACAGATATGAATCCCCCCTTTTTTAGGATAATTAATCCCTACAAACATAAATGAAGAAGATACATACCATCCTGCGTGACCAGCGGATAATCCATAGCGCTGAGAGTAATAAACCAATCCCAACCACCGTCCAACTTCAGCAAAACCGCCGCCGCCCTCAGGACAGCCGCCAGGTTCGTGGATCCCATGTACGTGTTCGGATCAGGCTTCCCAATCACATCCACATTCCCAAAGGCCCGCACGGCCGGCACGGATTTCACCAGCGTTCCTAACCTCAGCCGCTCCTCGTCACTTCCGTCGGCCGATATATGCAGCAGATACCTATTCCTCGGGTGGTACACCGCCAGCAAGAGGCGGAACAGCCTCTCGCCCTGGCCTCTGGAGCCCGATATGTAGTAGGCAAAGGACGGCGGGTGGCCCGGCCCGTGATTCACCGTGGACGCGAACTGCTTGTGCGGCGGTAGACCGTAGTAATATGGGGAGCTGAATCCCGTTATGAAGGACAGGAATATTAGGAAAGTGATGAAAGCCCCCGAAAACAGGATGAACAGCCATTTCTTCTCAGCTCCCATCCAGATTCAACAGCGTCAAATTGAACCCAAAAAAATGAAAAAAGTAAGTGTAAAATCTAAAAATTAAAGGAGATTAATGAAATTGGAGCAGGGGATTCCAGATTTGGGAATGTCAAGTGGGATTCAATGGCTTTTCAGACAAATGTCGGAAATTGTTCATCCGGGTCGAAGCGCGAACGGCGAAAGGCGAACGGGGTTTTCTGACGTGACGATTTCCAAATTCACGAACTCTTTTGGGGGATTATTGCGATAACTTTGTCAGGAATTAGGGTTTGATGCGAGGGGAGTTAGATTTAGGTGGGAGGATGGAGAGAAGTGAGAAAAAAACGGAAACAGTGAATGAGTGTTGAATTAAAACTTTAAAAAAGACTAGCTTTTTTTATCCTTAATCTGTCGTGTTAATCTTTTGTTCGATTTTTGAAAACAATTTGGTGCGACTTTATTACAATTTTTGATTAATTACTTCATTTAAGTACTAAGTAGGGAGTACTTTGTTCGTTGCAAGCAAGTTTTCCATTTCCGTCATTTCTCACGTTCTTCAGTGGCGCGTACGGAACACACTGATAGCGTTTACTACTGTCGGTGAGAGGCTTTTCACGCTTTGAGAATGAAAGTGTCCAATGTTTGACAAATTTATTTGTGTGTTCACTTCAGTGTCGCTTTTCACGCCTGTAAATAAACTTTCCCTAATTTTGGTGTTTGGTTGTGAAAATTTATTTTTTTGGGTCGTTATTATTTTATTCCATGGCATAAAATTTTTTCTACAATCTATAAATCAAATATACATTGACTTGTTCTGTTCTGATTTTACCTAATCGACTGTCTAGACATGGCCAAATCTGATTTGGAAACGTTTCAAGTCGCATTATAGGGCGCCATGACCAGCGCGGAGACGTATATGGGCCTATTCAATAAACTGGCAATTTCGAGTCAATTCATGAACCACAAGTTCCGAGCTGGTCTAATTAAAAAAAAATAAAAAAAAATTAAGTCAAATCGTCAGTTCTGATTTTAATTCGGAATCGAAACTGCCAGTTCAAAATTTATGAATGCTTGAATCGGATTGGGCTCGGGTAAAACCACATGAGAGTTTAAGGCCCATAGTCACAAGGTTGGTTCTCAATTCGACTTGTGGTCATGTCTGTGTAAATTATGATAATTAAGTATTTGTAATAGGTAAAATTAGTAAATACTTGTGTGCCGCCAAATTTGTTATTTACTATTAGTTGTTGTCACTTAAACTTACTTATGAAAAACATTCATATACTTAACTATTTTATTTGTGTTACAATATTTAACTATTTAGAAAAATCAAAGTAATTTATATTTTTAATATTAAATAAAATAACTAAATAATGATATGACGATATAAATATAAAATCATTGATTAACAATATAACAATACAAATGTAAAGGAATATCATAACTAAAAATAATTTTTAATATTTTTAAATTCTCAGAGTAGTACACGATATTATACAAGTTCTAATACTAACAAACAAATTACTACAACTGAAATTAGATTTGTGGATGCTTAAATTTTTTTTTGCACCAATAGGGCAATACCTTCTATTAGTAATGTTAAATTAAACGAGTCTGGCTCGATTCGACTCGAACTCGACTCGTTAAGTCTCGAGTTCGGCTCGGCTCGTTTGATAAACGAGCCGAGCTCGAGCTCATTTAAAACTCGTTAGCTCTACTCGATAAGGGTCGTTAAAGCTCAAAAAGAGATATTTTATATAATTTTCTATACTTCGGCTCGTTAAAGCTTGAGCTCGACTCGAACTGGGCTCTTTATTAGTGATAAACAAACCAAGCTCGAGCTCGATTTTAGGCTCGTTTATTCAACGAGCTGAGCTCGACTCGACTCGAGCACCCTAAGATCGAGCTCGGCTCGGCTCGGCTCGGCTCATTTACAAGCCTACATGCTACGAGCAAGATGTGTATTTTTTTATTTTTTATTATAAAAGCTGGATAAAAGCTCTAAATTTACCAAACATAAATTTTTGCTTTTGTAAATTAGTCAAATAGCTGAAAATGATCAAAACACAAAAAGCTATCAAAAGTCTAAAAAAATAAAAAGGCTAAAGGCTAAGGTTTTATTAAATGCATCATGGTGAAGATTAAGTTTAGGGTGAATTGCATTTTTGTTGTACATTATCACTTATCGTTACTGAATACGATAAGTTCTATTTAACAAAGTTTAGCATAGTTATTTTACATTTTCACTACAGAGCTAGCATGAATAATAATAATAATAATAATAATAATAATAATAATAATAATAATAAAGAAAGAGAGAGAAAGGGAGAGTAAAGCGAAGCCATTTTCCCTTTTCCGCAAAAGATGTCAAAAAGGGTCAAAACCACATTAATGTATTTTTATTTTGTAAAAAGTAAATAATACATCTCTCTTGTCAATTACTATATAACTAGTACAATATCCATGATATGCACGAAGATTTTAATAAAGAAATGATTGTGGCATTAATAAATATAAAGGAAAATGAAATCTATAAATTATCGTACATTTCATTAAGCACAAGTGGTGATGAAATTAGTTGAAAAGTAAATCTTGCAAAATCCAATCAATCTCAAATTTTGTTACAAAAAAAACAGGGATTTCTACGGCATTCATATTATTGAAATGAAATGAAATTAGTTTTGTTTTCTAAAAAATTAGAAATAAAAAATCTGACCAGGTACTTAAGCTCGAACCTTTAACGAGCCTACATGCTACAAGCAAGATGTGTATTTTTGCTTTTTTATTAGAAAAGCTGGCTGAAAACTTTAAATTTACAAAACATAAATTTTGCTTTTGTAAATTAGTCAAACAGCTGAAAATGATCAAAACACCAGAAGCTATCAAAAGTTCAAAAGAAATAAAAAGGCTAAAGGCTAGGATTTTATTAAATGCATCGATGAAGTTTATGGTGAAAATGAAATGAATTTTTTTTTGCATATTATCACTTATCGTTAGTGAATACGATAAGTTCTATTTAACAAAGTATTGCATAGTTATTTTACTACAGAACTAGCCTGAATAATAATAATAATAATAATAATAATAATAATAATAATAATAATAATAATAATAATAATAAAAAGAGAGAGTAAAGCGAAGCCATTTTCCTTTTTTTGCAAAAGATGTTAAAAAAAGTTAAAACAACAATAATGTGTTTTTGTTTTGTAAAAAGTAAATAAGACATCTCTCTTGTCTTCAGTTTTGCTATGGAGCCATCGGTTTTGTCAATTACTATGTAACTAGTACAATATCCATGATATGCACGGAGATTTTAACAAAGAAATATCGTGACATAATAAATATAAAAAAAAATAAAATCTATATATTATCGAACATTTCATTAAGCACAAGTGGTGATCCTTATTCAGAATAATGCATCTTCAATGGCAATCAGTTGGTCAACATATTGCTCTAATGTCGTACATGTCTTCATGCTTCCTCTTAAGAACAATGTTAAATTATAAGCAAATTAGTGTTTTTTTATGGAATTAAATACATATATATTGGAAAAAAAAAAAAAAAACGCTTACTCCAAATCCACGAGGGAGAACGCAATCATTTGAGTTGGACCTTTCTTCACTTGCTTCAACTAATCATTTGAATCTCAGCAACCAATCCAATTACATCTACAAAGTAAATTTGAAACAAAAAATTATTATTCGAACCAATTTGAATAATTTTAATCACAATACATTACACAAATTGAACAAATTAACTTACCAAATAAGATAGATTCATCAACATTATCGATGTCAGATAAAATGAGAAAGCTCCTGAAGTCGAAGCGATAGGTGGGAAAATCAGCAGCATACTTACAATGCTTAGTTGAACCATGAAGGATGATTCGGTATTTGTCACTACAAGAAATTTGATATTTTATGACAAAGATATTCATCATAAAAATTCTATTCTTCGTCACTAAAAGTATATAGTGACGAAATATTATCGTCCCAGCGTTCGTCACTGTAGTCGCGTGACAAAATGTGACATTATTATGATTTTCACTAAAAAATAAGTTTTAGTGACGTCAATCTCATCACTTTTATTATCGAAATTTCATCACTGAAATTCTTTGTCACTAAAAGATCAAATCTGAATGACAAACTGATATTTTGTCATTTAAATATTAACCTATGGTGACGAACTTGTCATTTTACAATCGAATTTTCGTCACTTAAAAATATATTTTTATATGACGAATTTCAACTAAAAAATAATAAATTATTATTTTAATTTTTAATAAATTAATTTATTTACAACGATCCACCACTCGACCCACCTTGAAAGGCTTTTTCCACAAGCTTCCACATAAACCATATTAACATTTATAAATTTCGTTTATAGAAGGATTTGAACCCATTACCTTAATCCATAACCTTTTGGTTTCCAAGGTGACTCTCACCACACCACTAAGCTATATCAATTTATAAGGCATGTTTTTGCAATTTTTATATTTATTAAAAAAATTGAAAGGAAAATTCGGCCAATCTCAAATGTTGTTACCGAAAAAATGGATTCCTATGACATTCATATTTTTTAAATGAATTGGAATTAGTTTTGTTTCCACGAAAATTGGAAAGGGAAATCCGGTCAATCAAAAGTTTTTGTCACCAACAAAAATTAGACTCAGATTTTTGTCAAAAACATTGAAATATATGAAGAAGTTGTACGAATTTTAAATTAAGTTGTATTTGTATTTGATTTCATAAATAATTGACACATTTTGACATAAAAATCTCCAAATTGGTTAAAAAAAATGAAATTCTTATGAGTTTCAATTTAAGAAAATCCAGTCAATTTGTATTTATTTCCTAAATAGTTGGAAAGAAAATCTGGCAGAATCCAACCAATCTCAAATGGTGTTACAAAAAAAAAAAAAAATGGGATTCCTATGGCATTCATATTTTTGAAATGAAATGAAATTAGTTTTGTTTTATACAAAATTAGTAAGAAATCTGACCAGTCTCATGAGATGACGCATATTGCAGATACCACAAAGATTATGGTCATTCGACCAACGTTTGTAGAGAACTAAAGGACGAGATCAAACAGCTCATCCAAGCTGAACATCTCAAAGAATATGTGTTTAAGAACAAAGTAAAGAGGGACAACCAGAAGGTCATGGAGAAGCGCAGACATCCTAACAGGCAGGATGACATGCCGATTAAGAAAGGGGATTCAGATGATCGCAGGAGGTCCCACTGATGGGGACTCCCAAAATGAAAGAAAGAATAAGCCATTCGAGAAAGAAATCGATAGTGCCAGAAGAAGGTCTAATGAAGCAGTATTTTGTTTTCCAGTGGGCGACCTTGGAAGGGTGATGCTTGAAGAAACTGTCGCCATTGCAACCAGAAAGGTAGTAAGAACCTTTCTGGGGCTTCATCCAGAAGCAGAAGTTA